AATATACCTGAAGTGCGCAAAGCATTGCACGTAAGGCCTGAAGACACCCATCAGTGGAGTGATTGTGGGGGCAGTTATTCGGGTTCGCCTACAGATCAACGCAAAACTTTTGATCAGTTGTTAAATGAGTTTAAAATCGGGAAAATTGTTGTATTTAACGGTAACTTCGATACGGTGTGCGATCACATCGATAATCAACGGTTTGTCGATAGTTTGGGACTTCAAAAGGTTAAACATTATAGGTATGACACAATCTATTGAATAAAATAATTACAATATTATTAATTGATTGCAAATTACTGCAATAATTTGTGTGATAACAGCGGGTGGAAGACATCTGACGGAACTTTGGCTGGTTTTGCACAGAAGTACGAGAAGGGCGTGAGTTTTGTGTTGGTTCGCGGGGCCGGACATATGGTCCCACACGACAAACCCGAGTCCGCACTACAGTTACTAAAGAATGTAATCGGAAATGGCTTTTAAGTTATTGAATTAAAATACTATTTTAAACTAAAATAATAAACCACTAAAATTATTATATTCTAAATAAATGTTTCAAATTAACCTTTATAAAACTTTAGTTATTTTTAAAATGAAAAGGCATTGACAACAAACTCTTAGAATTGTTATTTCTGTGTTTAATTTTCAATTAATTTTTACATCAAATAATTTGGATTCAATTATTTATTCTCTATTAATGTTTTTCATTTGAAGATATGTTTGATTTTCGTGTATTTCATTTGTGTTTTGACACATTTGATCGCTTTTATCCCTAAAATACAGAATCAATATAAATATACTATAAATTGTAACTTAAGTTATTAGCAAATTGTTTACTATTGAGACCCGAGTTTGACATTTATTTGTTAGTAACCCTCGAGTGTCGATCATTTGCTTTCAATAGAGTGACCACTTTTGATGTGTTATTTGATTGTCGTTTAAAATAGATATAATAACAGATAAAACACGAAAATATACTCATTATTATTAACACAATTAACGATAAAATAAGTGAAATATATTGAATCCTTTCTCTATCCAAATAAAACGAAAGGTCTTTTGAATCGAAAACTTTATTCAATGGATAGAAATAATAATCAATTGATTTCACACTTTTATCTTTAAATGGTTTGCAATTAATTGGCATAAACTTATAGATTGTGGTTATTATGAACACTAAATTCGTTTGCATTTTAAATGATGAGACAAATATGATTTTATTTAACGTTAACATCACTCTTATGTCACACAAAACATAACAATGAAATACAATGAGAGATAATTTATAACAAATTAAATAATTTTATTTCAATTGTGAAACAATACATATATTTGTGTTTATTTAAGCAATGATTGTCTCATTTATTGATGCGATTCGTGTTATAAGAAGACAATAATAGAAAACATGAATCAATTGAACGATCGCTTAGACAACTGCTGTGACTGTGGAGAAGGGGAACCGCTATTTACAAACACATTTGCCCTTCTCTTCAAACCATTTGCTTTTGAGGGCGTCTTTCATAGACATACGGCTCTTCTCGTCCGGATCCAGGAGTCGCTCCATCAGAGTCTTGACGTGTTTACTCAACTCTCGGACGTATCGATTGATGAGATGGTTTGGATCCGTCTGTTCCTTAAGCATACCCTTTGGTCCGTGTTTTTTGCCGAAATGAAAGGGAAACTTGTTGTTCAACATCGCGAAGAGGACGACACCCATCGCCCAACAGTCGGCCATAAAGGGGTCGTACTTTTCCCGTCGGATCAGTTGCGGGCTATAGTAGGGTTCGGTCCCGCAGTAGGTCTC